TGTAGATTGGTTTTTGCTAATAACTAGGTGATGACTCTTACTTCATAATATTGAGTTCATATTCAATCTATGCATGTTTTCATGATTCAATTCTGCTTTCGTCGAGATTATTGATTCTGCTTTGATCCTATGAGAGCGAATACATGATTAGGTCAATAGAGCACCATATATTGATAGTATTGGATCGATTGATTTAGTCGATGGTTGATTCAATGCTTTGTATCGATTGAGAATCTCATTCTATAGAGGGAATCTAGTTCAGAACGCCTTGATTGGTTGTTCTAGAGAAGGATACGTCTCTCTACGCAATTGACTCAAGAGGGCCTTGATCCTTTAGTAGAGATTCAAGGTCTAGTCAAGGTTTCTCCGCATTGTGAATGAAAGTGAAACAGGTTAAAGATCATCAATCATTAATCTAGCTAGTGGCTAGGGGTAACCATACCTAAGTGAGTTCCCAACCTGTAATTAGATTAACTTTAATTGTAGTTTGCCAGAGTAGTTTTAGCTGTTCTATCTTAATCTGGTTTGCTAGATAATGAACTGAAGTTGAGTAATAGTAACTATAGAGACCCGTGGATTCGATATTTATTACTTGAGCCACTATACTGCAGTCCCTTTCATTGGTTACACTTGGCTTTTGTTAGGAGTTGTGTCATAGTGAGTCAAGTTTTTACTCAATGACTCAAGTGTAACCACCCACTAATGCGTAGTATAGCGTGCTTAAGTTCAAATGTCAACTCGGGTCCTAGGTGTGATGACTACTCCATGAGATCCTTATTATTTAGCGATTCAACTGTAGTGAAGTTCCAACTAAACTAGCAAACAAAAATAGTAAACGTTGTGTTCCAAGTTTGAATGAGGTTACCCAGATATGGTTCTCCCTAGACTGCAGTTAAGCCAAGTTGCAATTTGCCAAGTTCAGATTCCATGATAATTATACTGCGGGAGGTTCTTATACAGTCTGCAATCTCGACTAAAGGTCTCCAGACCCTCTCAATCTGAGTCCCCAAAGGGCGACTAACCTCCACCGGAGTAAACAGACTAAGGCCCAAACGTACCAAACCTCCTCTTCTGGAATAAATCCAGTACAGAATAGTGAATTGACGCCTCGACTAAAGTCGTCAATTCACTACCTTCAATCAAGGGTGCTCTATCAACCTAGGCAGATATTCTCATTCTAGGTCAAAGCAGGAATAACAGGAATTTGATCAGGATTCATTCATGCAATTCAGAAAACCATGCCTTAATTGAATATCATCAATATAAAAAAAAACTTGTACTTGGTTTCATACAACCAGACCTAACATACAAATCTAGGTTTCTTCATACCCAGGTGAGTGAGAGGGTTTACTCTATAGAGAGTGAAGATAAATCTGCTTCAGATGCGGAAATCATTCTGTGAATGATGAGGATCTACTTCTGGTAATCAATCTACACAATGATATCTATGTTTTTATGTTTTGTCAGACATGGGACTTTATACTAACATCATATTACTGTCATTACATGAAATTATCACTACGATCTGATAGTGATATGATATCATTAAATTGTTTTGACAAACATAAGTTTCCATACCAACATCATATCACTACCATACCAACGTACACCACTATTTTTTCAGCATCATACCATTGGTAGTGATAATATCATGATATGATAGTGGTATAATAGCGGTAAGAAATTGAGATAAAATGGGCGAATAAGACAGGTCAAAAGTAGATACTCATGTTCCACCCAAAGTTATTGCGGGTCGGAATACCCGCTCCATCATTGGTCACGCCAGATAATACCCGACGAGACGAGTTCAAATTGATACTCCCCTACAAAGGTTATTGGCTATGTTTCTCATCAATTTCATAAATTCATTAAGGTTTTGTACCTAAGCCCAAATTACGGGTCGGAATACCCGTTCCATCATTGGTCATGCCAGATAGTACCCGACAAGACGAGTTCAAATTGATACTCCCCTAGAAAGGTTATTGGCTATGTTTCTCATCAATTTCATAAATTCATTAAGGGGTCGTTTGGATCTAGGTTTCTAGTGAGTGATTTGTGAAGGATTTTCAAACAATCCCTCGTTATGCAGGATTTTAATACAATTATGCGTTTGGAAAGATAAGAGATTGTTAGGATTAGAGATTTCAAAATCTCTCATATACAGGTTTTTAAAATAGCTGACGGGGACCAGCTATTTCACAATCCCTCATTTTTTATTGCATTTTTCCAAAGACTACCCTCCTTCATCGGTGTTATTCCTCTTCTCAGATCATCTTCAACTTATTATTCCGACTTCTTCTTTCTTTTCTCCGACCATCCTCAACCGATATCAATAGTGAGATAATCTCTGATCTCCTCCGACGACCAAGGATAAGATTACGGCGGGATTTCGTTTAATTCATTCTTCTTCTCTTCAATCATTCTTCCGGCCTCTGATCCGGCGAAATTCAATCGACTGCTTCATCGAGTGGACCCTCTCTCAAATTGGTACCTATATTAATCATAATCAACACCCTCCCTCAAATTGATATTGGGTTCTCAACATCAATTTGGAAGATAGATACCAATGTCTACTTGAAGAAACAGCCTTCGTCAACAAATCTGCAGTCTGCTCTTCAGTTTCCAAATAACTTAACTGGATCATCCCTTCTGAGACCAACTGTTTCGTCCTATCATGTAGAATAAGATTATGTGTTATCTGAATAGCACTGGTATTATCCCCATATATGCGCATAGTTTGCTTGCACTCCACGCCAAGCTCTTGAAACAACAGCCATACCATTTCTGAGCTAACTTCAGACATCGAGCGATACACTGCCTCTGTAGAAGACTTAGACATTTTGTCCTGCTTTCGGCACCTCCAGGATACAAATGACCTTCCAAAACGTACAAACCATCCCGAAGTCGATCTCCTTGTGTCTTGACATCCAGCAAAATCTGCATATGCAAAAGCTTCAAGCATTGGACTTCCATCTTTTGGAAAGAACAACCCGACGTCTTCAGTAAGCTTCAGATATCGAAGCAATCTATGTACTGCATTAAGATGTGTTGTCCTTGAAACTCCCATAAACTGGCTCACTGTACTGCATATGCAATGTCTGGGCGAGTATGCGTTAGATAGATCAAACTTCCCACCACACTACGATAGTACGTCTAATCTTCCAACAGCTCACCACTCTCCCTGTTAAGCTTCAAATTTTGTTCCATGGGAGTACTACACGGTTTACACGAGTGATAGTCGGTGACAGTAAGAAGATCATGTATATACTTATTTTGAGTAACAAACAATCCTGCACTAGACTGAATCACCTCCAGTCCCAGAAAGTAAGACACGACGCCTAGTTCCTTCAAGTTGAAGGCTGAATGCAAATATGCAGTTAATTCTCGAATACCGTCACTGTCACTGCCAGTGACTATCATGTTGACCAGAAGGTGGTCAAAACAATATAGACTTTTGTTGACGTGGCAAAAATGTGGTATCCATGTAGACGCCACATCATTTCCATGTCATTATTATTTAATTAAACTATAATTAAAATAATTAAAAACCCAAATTATTAGAAATGAAAATTTAATTAGTGATTTTTTGTGTCTTCCTCTGTCTCCTTCGAGGGGAATTTGCGCCGGTGAATCGTAGAGCAAACGCGGGTGGTCTCCTCCTCCGAATGCAATGGCAAGGAGGCGGGCGGCGAATCGAAAAGCAACGGCAGCGAGGGAATCTTCCTCCACTCTCTTTAATTCGTCGATTGGAAGAGCAGGGGAGGGATCTGATTCCAAGACCTTTCCTCTCGATGGGGAAGTAACAAAAACCCAGGAATTGAACCCCAGTCGTAGAAGTAACAAAAACCCAGGAATTAGAAAAGGGAAGAACAATTGTTCCAATCGATTGGGTATTATGACATAATAGGAGTAGGAGGACCTGCAACATTGATTTTTAAAGATATGGGTAGTGGGAGCTCAAGTCAGCCCATCAGAGCCGTGGAGCCGGACCATTCTCTGAAGATTGGGGGCTCCAAAACAATTGCCTAATCCGGTGCCCCCAAAATCCCCTCGGCCATTGTTGTCGATCCTTGCCAACGGAGTCTGCTCGCGGAAGCTGAGAACATGGATGAGTTCCCCAGAGGAAGCGGATACCTCTATTCGTGGCGGCGTTGCTCGCCGGAGTGGTTGAATCGTAGAGGGAAAAGAGGTCCGGAGCGGTGGGGCTGGAAAGGGAAAAGGCAAAAGAGGTTTGCCTCGCAATTGAGAGATGGGTCACCATGTTTGCCTCTCCGGCGCTCTACGCCCGACTATTCACCCTTAATCATATCAAATTCCTAGCAATTGCGTTTCCCAACCTGCCGACCACCTTCTCGATTTGGGGGATTCCGCTGCTCGAAGACGATAGAAGCTGCCACCGAAGTAGTCTGCAGTGCAGGGAGGGCGGAGGTTGTGGCCGCAGCCAAGAAACTCTTTACGGATTGAGGGGGTTGAAGATGATGATGAAGATGGATAAATCGTAGTAGTGGGGACGAGGACGAGATGATGCATAGAGAAATTAGGTTTTTGTTTTTGGTTTGTGATAATTATTTTGTTAAAAGTGATAGTATAAAGTAAATAAAAATTGTATTCAAAATTCCACATCAACTGCCCTTCAAAGTTGAATAGACTTTCTGTTAAATATTAACAGTCAACGCTGGTCAACACTAACAGAAAAATAGTAAAAGACATAAATAGAATAATAAAATAGGGTCAAGTATCATTTTTCGAATAGTTTAGATGTTGTAGTGATATTAACTCTTAATTGTATTTTCCTGAACAAGTTTCTTTGCCCTATCCTTTTCCATCCAGGACGAAGAAGATCGAACATCTATGGAAAAATAAACGAACGGAGGTACTTGCTCTGACTTTCACGTACGGCCGGTTAGGGTTTCCTTCGTATATTCACGCTCGCGGTTGTCCGATCCCACGCTCCAGGTTTTGAGATTCACCGATCCCTCCGAGTTTCAACAGAGCCGAAAATGAGTTGCTGCAGCTGCATCGGCTACATATTGTTCTTTAACGCGCTACAGAATGGGTATCTTTTTCCCGAAGAACTTAAAACCCTAATAATAGAGAAACTGGCGAGGGCGAGGGCGGCCGGCGTTTCTCGAGGTTGGTTGGTTTGTTTTATTTATTTGTCTAGTTTAATTAAATAACCCATTCTTCTTCTTCTTCTTCTTCTTCTTCTGCTGCAATATATCCATCGTAACTAATCATAATATATGTCTACTGCTTCAAAGTTGTTGGTTGGTAGGGAGGTCGATCCGTCTGAGTTTCTTGACTCCATTCTTATCCATCTAGTGATTGTTTGTTTGCAGATTCTACTTCCTCGCCGGAACCTGTGCTTCCAGGCATTGGTCTAACCCGTAGGGAGTGGCTGCTGATGCGTTATGCAGAGGTATGTATCTATCATACATAACTAGGGGTGTCAGTTCGGGTCGGGTTCGGTTACCCGAACCGAAACCCGAAAAAACTCGAAAACCCCAAACCTAAAACCACTAAAAATCGAACTCGAACCCGATAAGGACTTGCGGGTTCCGGTTACCCGAAACCCGAAAATTCCTTATCGGGTTCGGGTTCGGTTAAAGCAAAACCGAAACCCAAAAACCCGAACGCCTAAGAATACGGGTTGAGTTCTATTCATTGGAGGTTTTTAGCCGGAATCCGAAAAACCGATAAGTAAAACCGAACCTGAAACCGAAAAACCCGAAACAAACCCGAACCCGAAAAACCGAAAATGTATATGATCGGGTTGGTTTCGGGTAAACCCGAAAAACCGAGACACCCCTATACATAACACATATTAATTGCTGTTTGTGTGAGATTCATTCATTCGTTCGTGAACGTATTATGGATTGTTATATGTCTCTTCTCTTGTAAGTTAAAACTGTATTGCGGCCATTAGCTTATATATATGTGATCTGTGGGTTACATTCTTAATTTGACTGACTTGTGCCATATATTTGTTGTACGTGTAGTGTGTGAAGCATGATCACATGGTATCAGTTGGATTATGCCTGGATTTAAAGTCCCAAATGTTGGAGAAGAAATCCTTGACCCAGAAAGTTTGGGATTGGGGTCAAGTCGCCCAAAGCTGGTTCAAATTGTGAATTGTCTGTCCTTGCCACAGGAAGATTGATTGGGGCCAAAACCTGGTTCAAATAGTTTGAAGAGTGTGTCTTTGAGTCGATTTTAAATCTGTTGCATTTGAGTCCTGTGTGGAGGGTTTAGTTTTGTTGAGGTTTTCTCAATAGTCAAGATTCGGAACGAGGAGTTAGACATAAAAAATAAAAAAATAAAAAAAAATAACTGTAATGTGGAACCTAGGTATAACCCGCCAGTCGAATACCAGTTGAATTCACTCCTAATAGACAGGGGTACGTTCTTTATCTCCAATTTCATTGATGAATTTTACCGGGAAAAATGGTTGCTGCTAGTCCATTTCTGCTCGTAGATGGGATCTCAAATCTGCCTTTTTGTGTGTTTCCCTGTGATTTAAGGATGCTAGTCCATTTTCCCTCGTAGATGAGATTGGAGATCTGTCTTTGTACGTTTAAACTAATGGTTGTTCAATATTGAGCGTGGGGTTTATAGTAGGGGTTAATATTCTTATGTTCTGTCGCTTTTCAATTTTGCTCAGCATTTTATAATGTTGTCATAACTTAACTTACAGTATGTTTGGCAACAAGGGGTGTAAGTTTGATCGGGGTGCAAGTTGAGGTGCAACTTGGTTGGGATGAAAAAGTAGGGGTGCAAATAGAGTGAAAAATAAGTAATTATATTTTATAATATAGACCTATCAATTTATAAAATATTATCACAAAATAGTATAAATAATAAATATATAATGATAATAAATATATAATATAAAAATAATTATTATATAATAATGCTCAAATAATAATTAATTATAACAAAACTAATAATTATTGGTCGAGCGACCTCGAAACCCAACTCATAACTGGTCATCCTAAGGGGGTTCTCGTGCCTAATTTTAAATTGAATATCATCAAACTTAATCAAATACGTTCAAATCTGTAAGTTTTAACTATTTAGTCAAGTAAACTTAGTCAACTAAACCGTTCATCTCTAACTTTTACACAAACTCTTCTTATCTCTAATTTTCAATGCGAATTCGAATCAACCAAGAGATATCGATTTGACTAGACGAACATTAACAAACTTGCTCTCAAAATCAAACGATCAATTCAGAACAATGTCTACATTAATGATAACTATAAGAAAAAATTAATAATATTAATTATTATATAATTAAAAAAATCGATAATTTCCCTCCTCCCCCTTCCTTCCTTCCTTTCCTTGCACCCTAAATTTGGGAGGTAAGCCAAAATAGTGAATTTGCACTCACGTTTTGCACTTCCCACTATTACAAAATAATCAAACATGAATAAACAGGTTTTACCCATCAAGTTTGCACCCCTTCCATTTGCACCCCTTCCCAAACACAGTGTTAAGTGTTAACCTCTACCTAGCTACAAGTAAGATGGATTTGCTATCGTGGATGTTTTTCTTGTGCTTAGGGGTTGTTTGGAAGTTGCGATTGTTAAATATATGTATTGTTGAGAATGCATGTATAATATTATACATGTATTGTCGAATTTGATGTATTGTAGAATACAACGTTTGGTATATGTGATTGTGTATGTCGCATCAGCTAAAAGCCGAGACAAAACAATCTCAACTCAACTATCTCAACAATCACAACTAAAAGTTTAGATATAACAATCACTCAAAATGAGTGATAGTTTCTGTCACATCATAGAAACGATCCATGTATTGTTCTGCTAAAAAAACAAAAAAACAATGCATTGTAAACAATACATGCATAATGACAAACTCAACAAAACAATCGCAACTTCCAAACGACCCCTTAGTTTATCTCATTCCTAAATTCTAATTTTCGTGCGCCAATCAAATAATTGGCTTTGTCCAGGTTGTAACAAAAAAAAAATCTACAACGCCCTATATATCTTGCCGTATTAATTTTTTTCTTGGAAAAAAAAGACTTTATAGGTTCTTTACACATCATCCTTTTTACAATATTTTGTGGTACTCTTAAAATATGTCAAGGAATGTTTTACGTGAAAAGTTAGTGATGGATATTTTATAAAGTGTAAAAAAGGATGATGTGTAAAGAACCTATACAATAAGATTAATCTGTACATACATTCCCGTCAAAAAAAAAAATTAATCTGTACATACAATAAGATTTAGGGTATGCCTACTATGACATGCATGTCACTGTGACATGGACTTTTCGGTCGACCTAATCCTGAAGGCGGTCGACCGAATTGACTAATTTGGGCAGCACGAGAAAGCATTGCGGTCGACCTTAAAGACCACCTGGTCGATCGTTCTTAGCTTAAGTTGTTATTTTTGGTTGACCAGGATAAACCTCGGTCGGCCATTTCGTTGGCGTCAGAAACAACAAGGTCGACCGGAAAGGTATATAGGTCGACCACTTGATGGCAGTCATTAACAACATGGTCAACCAGATAAAGAAAGAGGTCGACCATATAGAAGATAAGTGTTCTATCAATTTATCCAATCATTTGACGTAAAATGAAGATCAAGTGTTATTGTCGAGGTCGACCTAATCCGGTACGAGGTCGACCGAATACAAGAAAGTCAACCTATGCCCCGTGTCTTTTTTGCTTATGTATGTCGATTTGTGTGGTTCTTTTGCTCGAATAAATTATGCTTTAAACCATCATAACTAGTCATAAATAATGATAACAAGGACTCATCAATTATGCTATGAATTGAGGTTGACCGCCTTTAGGATTAGGTCGACCGCAATGCTTTCTCGTGCTGCCCAAATTAGTCAATTCGTTCGACCGCCTTTAGAATTAGGTCGACCGAAAAGTCCATGTCACGGTTACATACATGTCACCGTAGCAAAATCCTAAGATTTAATAAACATTAATCTGTACATTAAGTAAACAACTGCCACAGGACAAGTTAGTTCATCATGGCGATTCCCGAATTATTTATCCCATTGCTCGAATTGAATTTTGTACTACCGCGGGTTATTCATGTACGTGCATAATTTTGGAACCCACTTTTTATGGAATTGGCTGACAGCTCTTCTCCCTGCACTTGCTTCCCATCCCAATTCCCATCCCTCCACAATTTGCCCCACCAGCAAGTACTGGTGCACTCTTTCATTCATGCCCACTGATTTGCTGGGAGGGTCCCGAGACGATGGAGCACTTGTTTCTCTACTGCTCGGTGGCGCGGGCCATCTGGGAATACTCGGGGTTGGATTATTTAGGAGAGGCTTTGCCGCGGCACACGTTTCCTCTGTTTCTAAAGCGGATGCTCTCCCTTGTCCATGATCCGTCGCTGTTTATGGCAGTGGTTGCCATACTCTGGCGGATCTGCCGGTCGCGAAACTGGGTTGTCTTTGAAGGCAAACAGTTTGGGATTCCGGCTTTAATGCGCCAATTTCACCAGCAATATGAGGAATGGGTGGGGCTGCCGGTCGACCAGCAGCCAAGGATGTCTTTCCAAGTGGTCCATCCTGGGACCCGCGTGGATGACTCTCGGTTGGTTTGCATGTGGGACGGGGCAACTAGGAGGGGGTCGCACTCGGCTGGTGGGATGGTTCTTTATGGTCCGGGTAGGACGGTCATTCGGGCTAAAGGTGTGCAATTTGCACGAATGGATGAGCCGATGGTGGTGGAGCTGCTAGTGCTGCGTGAGGCTATCACTTGGTGTTTAGAGTGGGGTCTGGCCGATGTTCGGTTCGAGGGGGATGCGAAGGTCATTATTGACAAGATTAATCAAGCCGATTCGTGCGACAATCACTTGGGGGCAGTCCTGGAAGAAATTTGTCAATATTTTGCTGCCCATCCGGGGTTTAGTGTGCGGTTTGTAGGTCGGGATAACAATAGGGTAGCTCATTCGGTAGCTAGAAAAAAGCCCTCTCTTTGTACCCGAATGGGAATCGCTTGTTTGATTTCAGAGCCTGGCTGCTTTCCAGGATGTAACTATCTTGCTTGATTGGAGTAATATATGATATCTTTTGAAAAAAAAACAAAATTAGCATAAACATTAATTAATTATATTAGTCAACCACTAATTCTAATGCTGTTGTTTATTTTCTTTATTTAGTTGATTGGTATCCGCTATAAGAGATTTCTTGCATTGGCTTTTTCATTGTGTCGTGACATCAAACCTTTGACATTGCTAGCTTCCATTTAGATATGTAAATGTTATGTAACCCACCAAACTAACAGGATTTCTTGATGTTTGATGTTTAATATGATTCCCTTCATACCGTTGGTTTCAATTATGTCATATTCGTGTAACCGGCACCTTTCAGAATCAATATTGCAATTTGCATTGAGCTTTTCTTTATTAGCCCACTCCTCCGTTTCGTCACCTGCCGGCTCGCCGCGTTCTCGATCCTCTTCACCTCCACTTTCCCCCTCACCATCTGATCGATCGATCTCTGCCCGCAAAATGAATTTTAGGTCATCGATCCAAAACTCCAAGTCAAAGCGAGGAGAAGATGAAACCCTAAGAAACTATAATCGATCGGCTGATGCATGCTCACTGGAAGTAGAACAATATCTTAGCGTCCCGCGATTAGTCACCTGCTTGCGAAGAAGAGAATTGCTTTGCCCGCCGGCCGGCCGGCCACGGGAGGAAATCATCGCAGAGGAGAGGAGGAAGAAGAATAAATTGGGGATAAGGTGGCGATGATGGATGGTGGCCGAAAATATATTTGATTTGTTTCGTTATTTTTTAATTAGATAAAGGAAAATGATAAAAGAAATTTGAAATTCGATTTTTTTTTGGTGCTGACATGGCAGTGACCTGTACAGTTGACTAACGGTCAAACTACTATTTTGGCCAATTGAGTCTATATGCTGCATAGTTCGGACCATGATGTTAATTTCTCAAACTACGGGCCAAAGTTGACTAATTGGTCATAGTTCGGGCCAGAATAGGGTATTAACCCTTTTCTAATCCCATAATTTTTTTAATTGAATCCTATAGCATTTGTTTTAAGTCGGAGTTTAAAAACTTCTACATAGAAAGCATAGTTAGTAAAATACGGTACGGGAAAGTTACGTAAAAAATACATACGGGTATTTTACGTCGTCTCTAAGCTAAAGGTACGTTTAATAGTACGTTAATAGTAATAAATATATAAAAATAAATTATTTTAAAAATAAATAAATATATAAATAATAGTAAAGTTCACAATTTAATTCATTAAATACGGATATTAAACGTGTTATACGGGTTTTATACGTGTTTAGTACGGGAGCCATCCAACGAACGGGAAAAAATAAAACGGCTTAACAATAATACGGATACGGAAGTTTTAAACGGATAAAGTACGTACGGGTACATATACGTGTATTAAACGGAGTATTTACTAAATATGATAGAAAGAACTCATTAAGTATGATCTACACAATGATATCTATTTTACTATATTTTGAGCAAAGAAAAAATTAACTCTTCAAAACACGTGTCAGTTGGAGTAGTAGGATAACCCATCTCCTTCATTTTAACCTGAAATTTCAAAAATGTTGTATAGAAAGGACTCATTCATTAAGATCTACACAATGATATCTATGTTTTTATGTTTTGTCAGACATGGGACTTTATACTAACATCATATTACTGTCATTACATGAAATTATCACTACGATCTGATAGTGATATGATATCATTAAATTGTTTTGACAAACATAAGTTTCCATACCAACATCATATCACTACCATACCAACGTACACCACTATTTTTTCAGCATCATACCATTGGTAGTGATAATATCATGATATGATAGTGGTATAATAGCGGTAAGAAATTGAGATAAAATGGGCGAATAAGACAGGTCAAAAGTAGATACTCATGTTCCACCCAAAGTTATTGCGGGTCGGAATACCCGCTCCATCATTGGTCACGCCAGATAATACCCGACGAGACGAGTTCAAATTGATACTCCCCTACAAAGGTTATTGGCTATGTTTCTCATCAATTTCATAAATTCATTAAGGTTTTGTACCTAAGCCCAAATTACGGGTCGGAATACCCGTTCCATCATTGGTCATGCCAGATAGTACCCGACAAGACGAGTTCAAATTGATACTCCCCTAGAAAGGTTATTGGCTATGTTTCTCATCAATTTCATAAATTCATTAAGGGGTCGTTTGGATCTAGGTTTCTAGTGAGTGATTTGTGAAGGATTTTCAAACAATCCCTCGTTATGCAGGATTTTAATACAATTATGCGTTTGGAAAGATAAGAGATTGTTAGGATTAGAGATTTCAAAATCTCTCATATACAGGTTTTTAAAATAGCTGACGGGGACCAGCTATTTCACAATCCCTCATTTTTTATTGCATTTTTCCAAAGACTACCCTCCTTCATCGGTGTTATTCCTCTTCTCAGATCATCTTCAACTTATTATTCCGACTTCTTCTTTCTTTTCTCCGACCATCCTCAACCGATATCAATAGTGAGATAATCTCTGATCTCCTCCGACGACCAAGGATAAGATTACGGCGGGATTTCGTTTAATTCATTCTTCTTCTCTTCAATCATTCTTCCGGCCTCTGATCCGGCGAAATTCAATCGACTGCTTCATCGAGTGGACCCTCTCGACCCCTCCCTGTGCCTTCCTTCCCCGCAACCGAAAAAGGTAGCTGCTCAAGCAAGCGCCATCGGCGATGATGCAGAGATGGGGTTTTATCGATGGGGAGATTGCATGTTCTGCGTAACTAGGTTTGTAAGGAAGAAGACGACGAGAAGAGCGGCGGAGGTTTTTGGGGCCATAAATCTGTTCGCCGAAGGAGATTTTGTGTCGATTCCTGTTCGAATCGAATCCGAAGCCCACAACTCAACTTCTCTCGACACTTCTGTTCATTCCCATCGATGGGTAGATAAGTGGTTGGTGGATTTTGGGTCAATTTCCGTCGCCGGTTTCTGGGTTACTCGCCAACCCCGCCGCATCTCGATGAAAACGAATCTGGTCCTAGATACTGCGATTGCGCTGATGGAAGAAGAAGCGATGGAAGATGGAACCTAGCCTTGTGAAGATGGAAGAGTTGCGAACTGTGGAAGGAGGTCTGGACTTCATATTGAAATTGCTACAACAACACTCAATTGCCGAAGGGAGATCTTGTTTCTGGTTTCCAGTTTCTATAGCTGATTGGGAGCTGCAATTTTGGAACTGGCGCTGACGGGAGATTGACGGAAATTGGCGGAGAGTGAAAGGTTGAATATGGAAAATCGGCAAAGATTGGATCAATTGGATGGAGATTGGATGAAGCAGAGAGGAAGAGAGGGTTGCTCGGTTTGGCCAAGGAAGAAGGAGGAAGTGGGATTTATGGGCACATTTGTAATTTTGATTTCACTATTAAAAACCCTTAATAATATCCAAACAAGTTATTTGGGACAAATCTCTCATGTAAATTACCTGGGTTTTTAAATGAGAGATTTTAAACCAAATCCCTCATTATCAAAATTACTAATCCAAACGACCCCTAAGGTTTTGTACCTAAGCCCAAATTAAGTATTTCTATTGATTTCACTCATGATTTAGGCCCATAACTACGAGAGCCCAAATACGTCCATCAGTTGTTCCGACTCAACCCGACAGCAGTCGGGCGCGTAAAGCGAAACACCATCCGCCACGCGCTTAACCCAATTCTCGTCGCCGCCATCGCCATCATCATCACCGTCATCACCCAGTCTTCACGAGTCACACGACTCATCCCGGGCCCCGGCTCGGCTTCGACTCACTCTACCAATTTTTAACTGTTACAGACTGCCGGAACGCGACAACCCCGCAGCGGGAAATCAATCATCCCACTAGACCACCATCCCTCTCTTGGAAGATTATTCATCCCCTAAGAAAATGTCCATTTCTTTAATCCTTCTTCAAAAATGTCGCCTTCTGCAGCCCTCGTCATTGTCTTTTCATCAGACCTCCCACCATTTTCCCCAGTCAACGCTTCCTCCCTCAACCCTCTCCTCTCAATTTCTTCTCCTTCTTCTTCCTCCTCTAACTCCATCTCAAACCCTTCTACACACGCCACCCCGAAGCTGCTTCGATCTCTTTCAGGAGTTTCCCCCATCTGGGTTTTGGGGGGTTTATGGTAAACCCCTCCTAGTCAATGGTACCAACAAAGGGCCCCAAAAGTTCTGGCCTTTTGATGAACCCGAATCTGGGTCTTGGTTTCTTCGTCTTGCTGTCGTTTCTCAGCAGCTCCGTCGTCAATTCCCAATGTAGCCGGGGCTGCGATTTGGCGTTGGCTTCGTACTATGTCTGGGAAGGCAGCAATTTGACCTACATCCTCCAGCTGATGAAATCCAACATTCTTCGGGAGACCGACTTCGACGCCCTGCTGAGCTACAACAGGCAGATACCCAACAAGGACAGCGTTCAGCAGGACACACGGATCAACGTCCCTTTCCCTTGCGAATGCATCAACGGGCAGCTCCTGGGCCACGTTTTCCTCTACCCGACGGTCACCGGGGACACCTACGACCTGATCGCCGGCAGGAATTACGCGAATTTGACCACCGTTGACTGGCTCCGGAGGTTCAATTCCTACCCTCCCAACAATATCCCTGATAGGAACGCCGTGGTGAATGTCACCGTGAATTGCTCGTGTGGGGACAGTTCGATCTCGAGGGGTTATGGGCTGTTTGTTACTTACCCGCTTAGGCAGGGGGATACTTTGGAATCGATTGCCCGGGGAAGTAATGTGTCGGCGGATTTGCTGCAGCGCTATAATGCTGGTGCCAATTTCAGTAGCGGGAGGGATTTGGTTTTTGTTCCAGGCAGAGGTGATTTTATCTCCACTTTGGGTTATTGATTTGCTGATATGGGGTAACTAAACTAGTGATGAAGTTAGGCAGTCAATCCCAAGAAGGCTAGGATTTGAACGGTTATTTATTGTGCATAGTGCTTCTGCTTTGGCGTGTATACTTTTCTGATCATGAATAGAACAGAACATGGAATTAGTTTAGTTGGAAGTTCTACTCAAAATACTTCAGTCGGCATTTGGTTGAATGGATTCAATCATATATTGGATTAGATCCATGAATGTTCCTTGGAGAAGTTTGGAAGGATCGCCTTCTGAATGTGACTTGTTTTCTTTGTCCCATTTTGCGGTGAATCAAACAAATGGAGAAATCTGTGGTATTTAGGATATTTAGGAATTCAGATACTGGAATTTTTTGTCTGTACAAGTAAAATGTATCACCTCAAGAGAATCGAACCTCAGATGCAGGCTTTTCATAGGGTTTCTTAAGATTCAGAAGATGCAGTTTCATGTAATACTATGAGCTTTAGCTTCTAAATAACTTCATGGATGTGCCTAACCAAAGCATTTCTTTCTCTTGCAGATGCAAGCAATAGCTACCGCCCCTTGAATTCAAGGTAACTTTTTATTGCTTATATCCTTCTATAATATTCTTTAAAGATTTTGTCCTGCTGGAAGCCTGGAAGTTTGAGGACGCTCATTAAACTCTGTGGCATTAATATCTGTTGTTCTCCATTTTGCAGCTCGTCTGGTGGTTTGTACCTCTCTGCTTGCTGGTTTGCAAAGCTACAATAGGCTTCATTCATCTTTGAGCTTATTTATGGTTTCATATAAACAGGCATATCTGGGGGATTGATAGCTGGCATATCAATAGCAGCTGTAGCTGTGGTGTTGTTGTTGGCTGTTTGTGTATATGTGAAGTTCTACAGGAAGAAGAAGAAGGTGGCAGGGACCGTACAGTTGCCAGCTTTATCACTAGGCTACTCTGCCCAAGGCAAGCTAGTAATTTTTAGCTTTCAAAGTCGTATTTACGTATCTTTTCATATTTATTTAGTTCATGGAAGGGAGTAAATGTGTTTACAGCAATTAACCTTTTATTTATCTCACCTGGCTTAGGTCCCGGAGCTCACTCAGATAAGCCACTCGAATCACCAAGTGGGGCGGCATCTGGAGGACTTACCGGCATTACTGTGGATAAATCAGTGGAATTCTCATATGAAGAACTAGCAAAGGCTACCGATGACTTCAGTTTGGCCAATAAGATTGGTGCAGGTGGCTTTGGAACTGTTTACTATGCAGAATTAAGGGGCGAGGTTTGTTGCCTTTGTGAATTATCTCAAGCAGTTAACATTGAAGCTAGAGTTTTGTGATTTCTGCTAGCCCATAAGCTCTACACCTTGCATCCTGTTTCTTTTGACTGAAAAGTGCAACCCAATACTGTCTATTGTCATATGCTAAATATATATCTCTGATTAGGACTCTTGGCATAATAGGTTCTGTAAGTTATAGTACAAACTATCTTCTGCTTCATGGACATTCATCTCTGACTCTCTGATGCAGAAAGCTGCAATCAAGAAGATGGACATGCAAGCATCAAAGGAATTTTTTGCTGAGCTCAAGGTTTTAACACATGTTCATCACCTGAACCTGGTAAATCTCTTTCTTTCAGTTACTGGAACCTTAGTTTGTGTGTTGTTAGAATGATACAGCACATCCATATATAACTTAGTGACTTGCTAAACTTGAACGCAAGTCCAGTAAGTCACGACTGTTTGTAGACCATGTTGAACAATATCACTGCAGTCTACTCGGTCCTATGGGCACTCCTAAGAGATGACAAATATTTAGATACGATTCTGTGCCATCACACTTTTAGTGATGTTAGATGTTATTTCAACCTTTGGACGTCTAGGAATTTGCTTGATGATAGAGAACATTGAACTGCTAACATAACTGCTCATACACAATCATGAATCATATGTTCTGTAGGCCTTATCCACAGTTTTTTCCCCTTCCATTTATTAGTATTGTTTTAAGTGACCCTATCAGCAGCTTAGTCGTGTGTTTCTTATAACTTCAATTTTAGGTCCGTCTGATTGGATACTGTGTGGAGGGATCTCTTTTCCTGGTATATGAGTTCATAGAGAATGGGAACTTGTCTCAACATTTGCGTAGCACGGGTGAGTCAGCAGAATACACTGTAGGAATGTCGTCGGCTGCAGTTGGACTTTGCGAAACTAATGGAGCTGACGATGCTGTTTGCTTAATTTGCAGAGAGAGAGCCACCAACGTGGCCTGGCAGAGTGCAAATTGCACTCGATTCTGCTAGAGGCCTTGAGTATATCCACGAGCATACTGTTCCAGTATACATTCACCGAGATATCAAGTCTGCAAATATATTGATCGACAAGAACTACAGAGCAAAGGTTTTGCACCGTCAGCATCTCCTTTGGCTTACAGCCCCATGGCAATGGCTTTTCTTGTGCTGAATATTGTGTGTTGATATACAGGTAGCAGATTTTGGATTGACGAAACTTACCGAGGTTGGAAGTACCTCGCTCCCTACACGCCTGGTTGGTACATTCGGATACATGCCTCCAGAGTAAGTTCCGGGTAGTATGTTAAAATTAAACTTATCTTTAGAAAGCATTTTAACAAGACAATACTACAAATGAACCTAGAAGTATGATAAATAGAACCTAGAAGCATTCTTATTTCTGAAGAACTAATGTAGTTGTAAATGCCCCCCTTCTCTACCTTACGCAGATATGCTCAGTATGGTGATGTTTCCCCAAAAGTGGACGTATATGCATTTGGAGTTGTACTATATGAGCTTATTTCAGCCAAGGAAGCCATTGTTAAGCCCAATGGATCCAATACAGAATCTAGAGGACTTGTGGCATTGGTTAGTTTTCCGTCTGTCTTATCATTGAATTTGTGTAACTCCTCCGTTTGATTCAACTGATAGAAGGTCCATTGAAGAAGTTGCGAAAGTTAAATGCATGCAAAAAAAATTTATTAAAAGGTTAATTATTGTGAAGTGGCTAGGTTCTGTGTCAATATATATAGACTTTTGTAGGGGAGAGAAGTTCTTAAAATATGTTGTCTGGGAATATGACAAACCACATTATTGTACAATTAGACTTTAAAAGTAGACGTTATAACTTGCTACTTGCTAGTGTATTTGATTGCGAATTCAGTTATTTGATCAACTGAAGGCACAAACTGGTGTCGAAAGATTGAAATCGGTTATAGAAGTCTCTGCTCTTGAATTGGCTATCAGAGCTGAAAGTTTTGGTTCATCTGTATTGAATTTTTCTTTCTGGACTTCTCATTCCGTGAGGCTGCCTGCTTGTTTTAATGTGCGGAACAGTTTGAGGATGTCCTAGACCACCCTGATCCACGAGAAGATATCCGGAAACTGGTCGATCCAAGGCTGGGCGATAACTATCCACTCGATTCAGTTCGAAAGGTAAAATCAAGCAGCAAGCTCTGTCTGGTAACACCTCATGTCCTGTTAACATTAGATCAATAAACTAATGTACCCCTCTTTTGGTGGATGCTTACAGATGGCCCAACTTGCCAAGGCATGCACGCAAGAGAACCCTCAACTCCGGCCGAGCATGAGATCCATCGTTGTAGCTCTAATGACGTTGTCATCCTCGACAGAAGATTGGGATGTCGGCTCCTTCTACGATAACCAAGCTCTTGTCAATCTGATGTCAGGAAGATGAGAAGTGGGAAGAGAGTGATTCTCTCTCCCAACCTCTTCTCATCCCTTCTTGAATCGTGTGAATAGTACACAGATATTATTGGGGTTTCTCTCGGGTCATAGTCGTATACCTCCCCATCTTTGTTGTTTTTCTCTGTAAATGTCATTGTGTAGCAGCAGCTGAAGCGAATTCACGATGGTGGGGAAAACCCAGTCTTCAGAATTTGTAGCAGCAAGATCGTTTCTTTATTTGAATGGATCAACTAGAAAGAGAAAAGATCTTTTCTTTGGCTTGAGGCAAGGGGATAGGTTTGGGAAAATGGTCCCTCCCTAACAGTTGCTTTCTAGGAACTTGAAATGTTTGTCACAACTTGAGATATTGGCTGACGAAGGAAAGCCGTTACCTCCTGCGGTTTCTTGGGTGTCAAGTTTCTGTGTGTGAAGTGGCGTGAATGGAAAAGTTAAAAGGTTGACTTTTGATCAGTTGAATTTTGATTGGTAGCCTTTCTAAAACTGAATCTTACCTTGCCGCGGATCGGATATGGTTCTCCCACCTACTGTTGGGATGACGTTTTTTCAACGGAGAATATGATATTTGTGTAATGAATCTTACCTTGCCGCGGATCGGATATGGTTCTCCCACCTACTGTTGGGATGACGTTTTTTCAACGGAGAATATGATATTTGTGTAATGATAATATAATATACGATTTACAGAAATACATATTCGTCCAACAAGAAAAATGTATTCTTATAACAGATAGTAGTATGAAATCAAGCTTTCAAGAATATGATATTTATGTTATATTGTGATCTGAAATAGGAATAAGTCTATTGCAACATTACGAAAATGTCATCATTTTGGTCGATTTAAACACGAGGGCCTCTTAAAATATTACATCTTGCTAGCTGCATTACATGCCTACGGTTTTGAAGTTAATGTACAAAGAACTTCATGTTAAAAGTCGTATTTCATCTACTGTTGACCCATATGAATTACCTGGAGATCATTCTAGCTTCCTCTAGATGAACCAGATGTCACGCCTGTTATGAGATTCTTGGTAGGATTTTTTGGTCTTTACTCATAGGTCATGGCATCCTCACCGAACTCAGTGCCACGAGCATTCCATTTCTCCCGAGCTGCGACGGAACATCTTATCCGCTCGCCTTTGAAACTATTTCACCAAGATGCAACTATACAACAGTATCAATGCCACGCTTTACAAGACGTTCCCCTTGACATTCTCCACAGTGGTATTGGAATAGTACCACCAGTTGAAATATACATCCATCTTCATCACAATAAAAGTAGGACACCACAAATTCTCACAATATATCAAAACTCTCAATTATTCACTCCACTCAATCTATCATTTCCAAATTTGCACTTCCTCATTCATTTCTCACCAACAAATCACATATTGCCTAATCTACAGTCACCCTCGATGAGTTCGATTATGTTGATGGAGTATCCGAAACATATCGAGGCCTGGTGAGTTGCATGGTTATGAGTTTGCTTTGTTCCGAAACAAGCAAAGTTCAAGTGTAAGACAAATTATACTATTTTTAGATTCTTATTCACTGGCATTGTAACACCCATATACTTTTCTCCGTTTAAAACAATTCAAAATTATGCATCATCATTAGCGATTTACCAAAATCCTTAAACCTCCTGCTCCCTAACAAAATTTTGGGAAACCCCATCTTCAAATGTCTCATGTAAAACAATGTGGAGAGTTCAGTTTTCCGCCCACCTCGTCATTGTCAAACTTGAACTTACTTCGTCCCATGGCCTTCACCCATTTTAGTTATTCATCTGGGAAAAATATTGACGGGGGTGAGACGTCACTCAATGAGTAAATAATAACCTAATATAAATATTAATACGAAAATGATATCAGGCTATGTTGTGACTCGGAGTGTCATCCGTCAATTATACTCGATGTATATCTATTCACTTAATAACTTTACTTAGGTCTCACATATGTAGAATCATATGAAATTTCTTCCCTCGTTCACCCGATCTATCACATTTACGTTATGGGTCATTCATATAAGTCATATATCCTTCGTTTAAGGTTTCTCCTTTACTTTACCCTACCTAGTGTTTCATATGGTTTGTATATATGCTTATATCCCATACGAAATTTTCGTTCATATTTTACACTTCTATCAACACTTACAACATCAAGGGATGTATTGTAGACTCATAACATTATACACGTCAATATCTCATGGCACTACCATAAAGAAATTAGTATATCATTACTACTTATGTCATAGTTTCCTGATCAATCGTTGAACCACTCATCATAGGAGATCGTCATAACATGTATCCCATATCACTTGATATGACATAAAAAAACACATCAACCTTCACATACCACATGTAAGGGTTCACATTCTATACCTCAAATATGGAAAATACTAAGATTGCCATCTTAATCATATATCACACAAAGATGGCAAATATCAAGCTTGGCATTCACATACTCATATTGCACCAAAAATCAACAATAAATCAACATCCAACCACACGAGTGCATACATATAGTTAGCTGGATTCAGTAGCTTTTATTCTTTAATTTGCCAAGTCATGCACTCCCCGGGATCTCGTGAACTCGTAACTCGTAGGCACAAAGTGCCAGATCTCATATACTCGTGAACTCGTGGGCACAAAGTGCCATATCTCATGAACTCGTAAACTCGTGGGGCACAGAGTGTCATATCTCATAAACTCGTAGCCAGGCCTGACATTACTCCTTAAAAGGAGTTCTCGTATAATTCTTTTATCTCTTAGGCTTGAAGCCTCTTTTCACTTATAATGAGTGCATGACAGGGCGCCATTACGTTTGCTTTAGGTGAGCATGCAATTCTTATAGTTAGTCACAACTCAACATATCACTTGTGTGACCCAAGGGCCATTTCATATCACATGCACTTGCATGACTCATAGGCTGCTTTATCTCATCTCGTATAATTGACAATAGGAAACCTTTCTTGCCATTCTTTTCTCTTGACAGCCTCAAATGACATTTCACATATCATATACTCATCACATAATATTGTTTAGCACACACATACCATGTATTATGACCTTCTGGTCATTTCATCATGTCATCATATTATCACACAATTACCACGATACGGTAACCTCATCCAATCATAGGATCATTCAATCATTTCATCATCATTCAATCATGTAACTATGCCACATAGCAACCTTCAATCACATTTGGATTAAGTCTTACCAAGCAATCATATACCTTGTACTCGGGCCGCTTCATGACCCAAATACCATAATCGTATTGAGATAAACATTATGTTAGAATTTACTCACAGAATGATTGTTTTTCAGCTATACTCTTTCCTCGTGAGGATTCCGCAGCTTGGTCTTTTCCTTTATCAAGTTAGATAGATAACTTAATACGCTTTGAAGGTGAATATAAAGCATACATATAATCCACTACTCAAGATCACCCACTTAATAGCAAACATATAAACTCCCATCACAAAGAATAAAGCCCACATGTTCCCAACGTTTTTGCATCCCCCCATTCAGTTCAATTATTTAAGAAACCAATATATTCAGAGGCCCCATTTCGAAAATCATATATTCCTTTAGGAACCACTGCTAATGCATGTGATATGGCGACCACTTAGCTAATCCACATCCAATTTATTTGCTCCAATGCACTTCCACCACTTTTCTAACTCATGCTACTTAAATTGATTTATCTACCATTTCCAAGATGGGCTCCAGTATGCCCAGCTATGCATACTGATAATTATACCCCATTTCACATGCATGCACTATCTTGCTATGTTAAACAGAGGAATGTAGACGTTCCCCCAACAACTAACACGGTACTTAATTATCAATCAAGGAGATAGCTTTCCAGTTTATCATGCATGCGTGTAGCTACTGTTTCTTCTTTCCCCCAATAAACCACTTCATCAACCAAAGTTAAGAGAAGATACCTTGAGTCCTTTGCTACTTGATTAGCTCCAAGCTTCTTTCTCTCTCTCTATTCGGTTTTCAGGGGACTCCAAAATGCATTTCTTCCACCCCCATCTCCCCAACCCCTTCCTAGTAAGGATTTGGGGACTACGTGTTGTTAGTTTAGCCTAGGAATATATATGGTACACGTGTATGGCTTAAAGGGAATTTGACTAAAGTTGACTCTTACTCTCACCTTATCTTTCCCCAACTGCAGAACCATTCATCCACCTTTACTTCATTCATATGGGTCTAAGGAGCAGGCTATGTACGTGTATGCTCGGGAGACCATATGGGAAATGGAGCAGTTAACACATGCAAATATGAGGTAGAGCTTGGGAAAAGTGCTTCCTAGATACCGCTAGCTACATTTCAACAAATCCATTGCATGTAGGGTTAGGAAGTAAAGGCAACAGAGGCTTAATTCCCTCCAATTCGTTCATTAGAAGACTAATATAGTTGCCCACTTTGCCTAAGCAATAATTGAGTTCATTTTACCCACTTCTCCCCCTAAAGGAGCTAATGATTGAAATATTCTTACGAAATGAAATCAGCACTTACATGGATTATCATCATCAATTTAGCTAGTACCCCTTTCCTTAGATAAAGAAAACTTAGTTTAATGCACTTGGGGGTACGCTAGACCGGTTTTTAACATTTAGGGCTATTCTCTTAATCAGCATTGTGAGCTAGTGAAAAGCATGACCCATATTTCAATTCACCAATGTGAGACATACACATAGAACTACTTGAGAGGAACAGGATGTGACAGGCATGTTCTACATTGTTTTTATGACAAAGCCTAGCGTACGCTTGCATTCACACCTATTATTTGTACTTTGATAATTTCGATGATCCCACATGCCTACCTAGCGTGAAACCCACGAGCATGTCATGAAGGAAAGGAATGACACAAGATCATTGTGAGTGGAGGAATCCGTTGTGGATTCACTCAACCACATATGTGCATAACTAGTCTTGTAGCAAAAACGAATCTAAGGAAACTCTAGAGGGAGCTTTCCTATGCAACGCTTTTCCTTCCACTTTCACTCGTCCAATAGTATAGGTAGTCCTTTTTTCCTTTAGATTCTGAAACCAAACAAGAGGAACTTCAACCCCCGGAGGCACCTCAACCTTCACATTCGTTTTACAAACCTAAAGAGCAGATCCCTTACTGTTTTATTGACTAAATAAAGAAACGTGCGAGGCTCGAATGAATTACGATTCTAGTTACCAACTATATATGTAAATTTGAATCATGTTCTACAACAAATAAATAATTATCTATTTCATCTAAACCAATCACGTGCTTGTAGCGCTAACTAATCAAACCGTTGTTGTTTTAATCGAACAACATTTGGATCACCTTAGATTTGGGTGATCCACCTTACTCGCTCTAATTTTCAGTTTCAGCGAACAACTTCCAAATATTTACAAAATACTATAAAGCAATGTCAATATATGCGTTCTACCACGTCAGCCTACCATCAACAACCCGCACACTATGGAGGGGGTTTTCTGTAATCGCACACTCCACTCGCTGAAACCCTCCTGGAAAGGTCAGCCCTCCTCTCGCTCTCTCTCCCCATGTATCGCAACCCCTCCCGGAAGAGACCCATGGCTCCTCTCTTTCTCTCGCGTCTTTTTCCGACCCCTCTGAAAGAAATCTCGGTCGCCTGTCTTTCGCTCTCGCCGTCTGTCTTATGCCGCAGGAAACTCACCTCATCTCTCTCTCTTGCAGTCTGTCTGCCAAACTCTCCCGGCGAAGATCCTCGTCGTCTCTCTCTCTCTCGCGCGCCTATTTCCCTGCCCCTCCGGAAGACCCCATCGCATCTCTCTTTCGTCATCAGTTTACACAGCATATTCGACAAGTTCATCCCCTCCATAGTGTCACTGCGATTTGCGACTGCCCAAACAACCTTCCCGCCGAGTAATTAGAATAATCTACTTTGTCTATGTAAGTTCCGTCTAGGTCTCTTTCTATATTGGCTTCTGCGAAGTCTGGGTATGGGATTTGCCCTCCCTTTTTCTTCTTTCTCTTTTTATTTTACCAGTGGTCATGTGATCTGAATGCAAAGTATTTAGTTCCAATCATCTGTGATTTAGTCCTTCAACTAATTCATAGCATCAGTTCCCGTCGGCAATTCAGTCCGACACTGCCCTAGTGCCGTTACATGGTTTTAATGGGATTAAGACTCAATTTCTAGATTGTTTTAAGAGAATTATTCTTTTCAGAATTAGAAGATGCTGACTAATTGGTTACCATTCTCAATGGATTTTCTCTTGGGCGTGCAATGGTTGCAGTAATGCCGCTGAAAAATCATCGCGATAACACGTCTTATAGCCAAAATCCTCCATCCAAATCAATCTCTACCAATGCACGATGTGATATGCTCATTTTATTCTTGGTGAGGTGTTTTGCTCAGATTGTATGTTATGTATGCCCCAAAATTCGAATATATTTTATTTTTGTTCCATTGTGTCTTTGTTAGGGAAAGGAATATTGCTCGCATGAAGGTCCAACACTAGCTGAAGTTGACAAGGAGGGCACCTCTCGAGGGCGCAGGTGAAGTTTGATATTGTCTACTATATTTTTAAGTACATATCAGTTGTTCTTAGCTTTGATGCTTCTTATTCTTGGTTATTGATAAGTTGAAAGCCCGTTTCACTTGCATGAAATGACATCTTGCGATTTTAGTTAGGAGGAGAAGGAATGTTTTGGAGGTTAGACAAATTAATGGAGTACGTGTTGTTCAGCCCCAAGTTGTCTCTCTCTGCCTTTGCTTAGCTATGGGTGATAGTAAGTTTCTTTTCGGTAGCTTTACGTGTGATAACTCTCTTTCGTCATTTTGTATCATATTCTTTCTCATGTTGCATCTACACCTCGAGCAGTGCATTTTGTGATTCTCAAAATCATGACTTCTAATGGGTAAGAGAAAATCAAGGCTTTGAATGGATAATCAGATTGTAAATAGTCTTAGTGGAAGTGTTTTGCTGATCATTTCCTGCTTAATGTTAAGGACAATCGGGGGTTCAAATTGTAAATAATTTGATTTCTGAAATTTGTTTATAATGATTCTGCTTTATGTTACAACTGGGGTTCCATTATGAATCAGTTCTTCATTTCCAACTACTTTGTGTATTGCTTTAACTGTAAAAGGAACAAACAGTTAAGAGTATTTTCCTTTTTAGTTTGGTGGAAAGAATCAAGGGTATCTGACCAAGACTTGTTAAACCATGTCCTGCTGTTATACATTTCTAATGATGTATGCAAAGAAACTGTGTTACTATACAGAACTACACCACTTACATGTATGAAACCAAACTAAGTTGCTGCTAAAATGCTTTAACTTCTACTGATGCACAAACACATATGCATTATCAGTTTTAAATTTACGCCCCATTCTTCAATTGAGAGTAAGATGTCCAGTTGTTGCTTGCCAAGAACTGAATTAGCACTATTGAGTGCAGGGTGTTGTTCTTGGGAGCTGTTTACAAATGCTTAATTGACTGTCATTGTGTTTTTTAATAATGAAAATAGTTTAAGACCATTTTTTATGCATTCTAGGGATAAAAGCTTGAAATACACCTGTTTCGGTTGCTGAGAAACAAACTCTTAAGGTTCCAGACATATCCATCCTTCAGCTTATCAAATATGGAAGAGCATGATTTAAGTTTTTTTTTTTTTTTTTAGGATTTGGAATCATTGGAACACCTAATTTTGCTATTATTAACTTATACTTTATTGTGAATTTCAGGAGAAAGTGTTTGTGGTTGAAAGTCATGTGATTGAAGTACAATGTAACTGGTGCTACATGGGGCCTGTTGGATACCCTCGCAAAGTACAAGAGAACTTGGAGGAGTACTTTTACAAACACTGCAAGACAACGTCTTCAATTGCAAAAGCCAAGTAAGCTGATAAGCTCATTCTGTCTTTTCTGCAAACTGCATCTTAGAAATTTTGTTACAATTTATAGGTATGAAATTAATTCAATGTAGGCCTGCACACTCAGGTAATTGTTGAATTAATTCGAACCTGAAACTGAAATTATTTTAACTTTAGTAACCCTCAAACCGAGTATACTGTGGTTAGCGTTGAGCATGATCCTCTTGGGGTATGTGATGAACACTTTAGTGGCAAATCAATTTCATTTAGCTAGAAGTTACCAACTTAGTTTCATTATTTCCATTTCTTTAATTGCTCTAATTTCATTGCATCAAATCAGCAAGACATCACCTCACTCCCTCATAAGTCAACTCTTACCTCGGAGATACCATCCCAGAATTCATCTCATGACAACGCCTACAGGGATAAACCAGATTTGGTTGGTGCGAACTGAGAGGAAACCGTCATAACAAAATCTGAAGTCCGGAGGGTCTTGGAGTGAGTACCTTAAGAAGTCGTAAAAAAAAATTGTTCGATTCTGACCGAGGAAGAGTAGTGGTATTGTTGGAATCATTGTTTAGTTAAGAACCAGATTATGAACCATATGTTTATTGTGTACTTTCATAACTAAGCGTTTGTAAATGTTTGGTTTTAATATGACCATATATTAGATTGTATATGGTTTTGAAGTTGAAAATAACATTGATTTGTGTGTGTTTATAATACCAACAGCTTAGTGCCCGTGTGTTTACAATTAGCTTTAGTGTCTGTGTTCTTTATGGCAGCAACTCGCACATACGTCATTTTACGACTCCCCATCCCGTTTTCTTTCCAGTTTCGGTTCAAAATTGGAATTAACACAGAAGCCCACTCTCCTCTATTCCCAGTCTTATCACTTCTATTTTTTAAACATTGATATAAGTAGGCAAAAGTTATATAGGAGAAACATAAATACGAATAGTCCAATATGAGCAACTCCAAATAGTCTTCACTTAATAAAGTGGCAACACAATGATAAAGTATTCCCTTGAAGCACACTCGAATTCACCAAGTGAGCAGTAGTGTTAATAGAGCCGGTTCCACTAAGAAGAATAAACCTTTATCAACTTCCATTTTTATAAAACGGTGACTAAGGGGTACCAGATTAAGATATCAAGGCCTCACCTACTTTCTTCAATTAACTTTCTATATGTGTTCCCAAAAGAGAATATTTAACCAAAATGTTCATTTTTGCTACAAATAATCATCTGTTGTAGTGTGATGCAGCCAAAATATTGAGAACATTTTTAGTTTGTTGGTGTTTATACAAAGCAATATCAGAATACCAGCTACTATTAGCTTTGCCGGCCAACGGGCCGGGCCCAATGCTAGTCCTCTAATAAGAGCAACGTTCTCGTTCAAACTTTAGTATTTTGGAAATTTTTTGTGTAAGCAATGTGAGAATTTTTTTTTTAAGTAATCACTATACTTCTTCTATTCTCTCCCGTGGGTGTGAAAATTCAAAGTTTGTTGTAACATTCAAATGGGCCGATGATATTTTGGGCTAATGTGCATACGTACGTGGGAGTTGGGACTACCGTTAATAGATCGGTAGAAAAGCCCAGATTCTTCTGGATTCCACTCCACGCAACAAATCCAATTTGGAAACTGAAGTCTGAATCCGAGGAGGACGAAAAGAATTCCGACACAGACACCTCACACCTACCAATAAATTGCCTAAAATTGCCAGATTTCTTCGGGGTCACATCACGTCTCGACTTTCCTTTCCCGAAACCCATTTTCCTGGCGATCGGAGCGCAATCGAAAAGTAGGCAGCTTTCCGGCAGCGGGTTAGATCATGGATTTCGAGTTGAGAAGGGCCAGGGAGAAGTTAGAAAAGGAGCAGAAGGAGAGGAAAGAGAGAGCTAGATTGAGACTCGAAAGAGATAGGAAGGCCAAAGAAGAGGCTCGCAAGCAGCGAGAAGCCCTCGAAGCTGTTCAGAGGTCCCGGAGGCTCGAAGCTGCCGAAGCCCAACTCAAGGTAATCCTCCTTCTTCTTCATACCATACCCCTATTGCTCCCTTCTTGCCCTCGATATTTTGGTTTCTTACCATTCATGAAGAAATCTAGACTTTTCTGGGTTCATTTCGAAAATGGTAAAAGAACCCAAGGTTGATAGAATTCCGTATGGAACCCTCGATTTTAGTGATTAGAATGTTTTGAGTTTTTAACCTTTTTCTTTGCCGTCATGCTAACCTCTGTTAAATGTGCCTTACGAGAAATTGGTTAATGTTTACAGGCAGATGAGCAAATGCAAGAGAATTTGATTGCCGGGAGAGGAATTGTGTTCTCTCGTGTGTTAGAAGCTGTAGGTTTCCAAGGAAGTGGGGATAAGATCAAACTGCCCCCTTCTTGTTTCACTGAGTTATCCGATCAAGGTGCTTTTGATAAAGGGCCATTGTACTTCCAGTTATCCGTGGTTCATCATGAAGCTGTTTCAGAAACGAACCACAAGGAAACCCATTCTGGTGCTCTGGAGTTCACTGCAGAGGAAGGTCAAGTTGGGCTTCCTCCTCATGTATGGGGTAACCTGTTCCCCCTAGACAACACTCCTTCTCCTGCAACTGCTTTAGTTGAGGTTCGATATGTGTGGCTGCCTAAAGGAATTTATGCAAAGCTTCAACCGGATGTGGTTGGCTTTTCGGACATCCCTAATCACAAGGCTGTACTCGAAACGAGCCTCAGGCAGCATGCTACGCTTTCCGAGGGCGATGTGATCACTGTTAATCATGGGGTGTTAACTTACAGGTTGAGAGTACTCGAGTTGAAACCCTCCTCGAGTGTCTCGGTTCTTGAGACAGATGTTGAGGTTGATATAGTGGGGTCAGATTCGCCTTTGGATAGCTCAAATCAGCATGTATTGAAGCAACTGACATTTGGAGTGTTGGAATCTGGAATGGTTGAAGAGGGAAAATACAAGTACTATAAGTTCTCAATTGATGATCTCGTTTGGGAGACCGTCTCTTCTGGGGATGTTAGGATTGAGGTGAAGATTGACGTTGAGACTGGTGATGGTGATACTGATCTTTACATTTCCAAGCATCCACTCATTTTCCCGAACAGACACCGACATGAATGGTCTTCACATGACATGGGTTCGAAAGTACTGATCCTGACCTCGAAAGACAAAAACTTGGGAGTGGGAACTTATAGCATTGGTGTTTATGGCTTCAAAGGAACAGCCAAGTATAAGGTTTTGGTGAGTGCACAAGATAATAGCACCTTCAAAGTAGGTCAGCAGGCTGGATCGACTACATCAGCGTCTGTGAATGCTGACACTGTTGAGTGCAGAAATTGCAAGCATTTCATACCCAGTAGGAGCATTGCACTGCACGAAGCTTATTGCAGCAGGCACAATCTAGTTTGCCAACATCCCGGTTGTGGTGTAGTTCTGAGGGTTGGCGAGGCCAAGGACCACCTCCACTGCGACAAGTGTGGGGAGGCATTTCATAAGGATGAAATCGACAAGCACACGAAGGTTTTCCACGAGCCTCTACAGTGTGGCTGTGGTGCGGTTCTCGAGAAGGAACAGATGGTAAGCAACTCGATTCCTTTTCCCTTATCTCGTTATCTTGAAATGGCACTGTGTTCTGTATTCTTATTGCGCTGTTCGCATACCATGTCATCACATGATTGATTTAGTGGCTTCAGTGGATATATTGCGTCCAGTCTAGTACATGAACATGATTTCTTCTTTTACAGAAACATCTGGATAAAATTCCAAAAAGCATTCTTATGTATGTTTATCTAACTGTTGGTTCAATTATCCGGTGCAGGTGCGACACCAAACTTCTGTATGCCCACTACGACTCATCACATGCCGCTTCTGTGGCGACATGGTTCAAGCTGGGAATTCAGCCATGGACACGAGAGACAGATTACGAGGGCTCTCGGAGCACGAGAGCCATTGCGGGTCTAGAACCGCACCATGTGATTCGTGCGGTAGATCTGTCATGTTGAAGGAGATGGACATTCACCAGGTAGCAGTTCACCAGAAGGGCTGATGTTAGAATGTAAGATTTTAAGAGAGGAGGAACACACAGGGGCAGCCATGTTTCTATTCATATTGTTGTATAGCTCATCCCAAATGTATGATCCATGAGTTGAAGTTTCTGGTTTGGCTTCACTTGTGGTGTTGTGGAACTCTCCCAATTGGATTGTCTTGTAATATTGCTTCTGATTATTTATGCTTCTCCAACCCACTAAAGACTGGAGTTTCACATGAGAAATGAAATGGCATGGGATCTCTTGGTTTTCGTCCCTTTAGGCAATAATCCTGTGTCAGAGTATTAAGTCAATCTATAATTAAACGTAACGAATTTAAGGCTACAGCTTCACATTCCCCCAAATTATCAATAACGGATGATTCTGCTATAAAACGAAATAGACACTCTTGATTAAGGAGATAACAAAAAAACCATAATTTGCATATTAATATCTTACCCTTTTAACCCCTCTTCCGTTTTCTTTCACTGCCGGTTACCAAACCCAGTTAACCAAATAGACATTCTCTCAGAGCTCAAGATATGAATGCAGAGCGCCATGATACATGAGAATCCGCATACTAAGGAACTAATAACTCAACCGTATGGTTGGCAGGGTGATGGAATTGAAGTCGGATACATTCAAATATTAATAGATTGTATGGTTGGCGATCTCAACCGTTAGATGCATGTGTTGATTCATAAAATCGTCGCATAGTTTTAAACATTAGCTACATACAATTACGAGTAAACGACCGCAACGAACCATATCAGCAAGTGATCACCACATCCTGTCTGCATATCATTTACAATAAGGAAAGGAAGGATTGATTTCCTTATTATCCAGCAAGCAAAGAGGAGCCCTAATGACAAAAGAAAAATAGCCGTTATAATAGTGGGTCCCACCAACCATCAAATGCCTGCCACGTGCTTATAGCGCCAGTATTTTTCTTTTATTTTTAGCGCCACAAACCTCCAATGAATCATCATAATTCATAATCCTCCTCCGTAACGAAATTAATTACTCAGCAAATTTAAGAAGAGATGTAACGGCAGAAGATTAATCGTCTTAATCTCGATGTTAATATATACGTTTATATATATGTGAAGGATTCTTTTATTTATGATTAAAAAAGAAACCGCCGAAGGATTTGCCGCATTGTGGCTGGCTGGCAGCAAGACCCGAACTCTGACTTCCTTTTGATATTCGCTTTCAATTTCAATCTCAACAAGACTTCTCGCTTTGTCGCCGGGATTTTCTGCCGGCGACGTAGCCAGTTCGAAGCGTCCTTCAACTGGGAAAAAGGAAAGCTGCTACCTTTGGTAGTTCTTTCCAGGGCTCTGGTTTAGTAAAGGCACTCTGCTTTGCCTTGCTGTTCTAGGCCTTCCACTGTCGGGGTCGAGAAATCGGGTTGCACTCCGATTGTGGAGTTCCCGGCGGGATCTTTCTTCAGAGTCGGCGGTTCGGCCCCGTGAACAGGTAAAATAAGTAGAGTTTGCGGCTTTTAGAACACTCTCTGTTATTTTCTATGGAATATTCAAATAGAAAGAAATTTTTTTTGGGTAGTTTGTTTGTCTGGGTAAAATGCTGAAGAGGGGAAGCCGTCATAGAAAGAACGGCACAGTCTGTTTGGTTTCGGGGGAAAACAGAGAAGCCTCTGTTCTTGCTTCTTAGAGTGAAATTAAGTTTCAATGGCTGCGTAATTGCAGTTTGATTGAAAAGGGTGCGTCTTTATCTTACTAGAAGATAGTTTTCCCAATTGGGTTATGAAACTTCATACGATTTTTCTTTTCTTATGAAAACTCAAACATGAAAAAAGAGAAAAACTTATGAATTCCCACCATTCTGTTTTGATTAAACAGGGACTCTCTTTTCAATCGCAGGAAACAGGTTCCTGAGCAAAGTTGCTGTGAACATTAGCCATGGCGACAATAAGTGATATAGGCGTATCAGCAGGCATCAACATACTCAGTGCATTTGTTTTCCTCGTTGTATTCGCCGTGCTTCGAGTTCAGCCGTGGAACGATAGGGTCTACTTCCCCAAATGGTACCTCAAGGGTTTAAGGACTAGTCCGATTGAATCGGGGACACTCGTTGGGAAGTTTGTGAATTTGGACTTCAGATCATATCTCAAGTTTCTCAATTGGATGCCTGAAGCTCTTCGAATGCCGGAGCCGGAGCTAATTGATCATGCTGGGCTGGACTCTGCTGTTTATTTGAGGATCTACTTGTTGGGGTATATGACGATTTTGGACTTCTGTTACCAAATGTGATGAACATCACTACTTGTAAATGTATGCCTGATTGTCTTGTGTTCTTGTTCCCTCTTTTCCAATTGCAGGCTTAAGATATTTGTGCCAATTGCAGTTCTGGCTTTTTCAATTTTGGTGCCAGTAAATTGGACAAATAATACATTAGAGAAGACTGATTTGACTTTCAGTGACTTGGATAAGCTTTCTATATCCAACATTCCACTTGGATCACCAAGGTAATAGTCACTCCCTTTTGCCAAGTGATGATGTATTGCCTGCCTGATTATTGGTTAATTTTGCTTTGTCCTTTGGGTGAACAGGTTCTGGACCCATTTGGTGATGGCTTATGCCTTCACTTTCTGGACATGCTATGTGCTAAAGAGGGAGTATGCAACTGTGGCTTCAATGCGGTTGCATTTCCTTGCATCAGAACATCGTCGCCCTGATCAATTCACGGTAACACGAAACCCTATCAATCGCCATCACTCTATCTCACAATTTCAGCCAAAGCGTCGTTAGATATTGAGTCTACAATGTGGGGTGTTAAGAAACAAGTTCTTAGAGTGTCCTTTCTTTGTTTGTGTAGGTACTTGTTAAAAATGTGCCTCCAGATCCTGATGAATCAGTTGGTGAACTTGTAGAGCATTTCTTCTTAGTCAATCATCCAGACCATTACCTCACTCAACAGGTTCGAGTCCATAGATTTCGGGAAGTATATAAGTTTCGAGAAGAATCCAGAATCTTACTGAATTGAATCATCTTGCAGGTTGTTTACAATGCTAATAAATTCTCCAGCTTAGTCGCCGAGAAGAAAAAATGTCAGAATTGGCTAGACTACTACCAAATCAAATACTCAAGAAATCCTTCTACGAAACCCACAACAAAGGTATTATTGCTTACTCCAAAAGGATCTTGTTTATATGCAAGAGAGAGTTTGATGCACTATTATAATTAGAGGTTTAGTTCTCTTCACTAATGCATTTTCCCTCTTTCATCAAACAGACTGGTTTCCTTGGCATTTGTGGAGCAAGGGTGGATGCAATCGACCACTACACATCTGAGATTGCGAGAATATCAGGAGAAGTAAGCCAACTGTTCATTGTTCTTTAAGCCACATATCTGGGAATCACTTCATGAACAATAACTTTCTCTAACCTTTTTCTCTAGATCTCAACGGAGAGAGAGAAGGTGGTGAGCAACCGGGATGCAATCATGCCAGCTGCATTTGTTTCCTTTAAAACAAGATGGGCTGCTGCCACTTGTGCACAAACACAGCAATCCAGGAATCCGACACAATGGCTGACTGAATGGGCTCCTGAACCCCGGGACGTGTACTGGGACAACTTGGCCATACCATATGTTTCACTCGCGATCAGGAGGCTCGTCATTGGTGTCGCGTTCTTCTTCCTCACCTTCTTTTTCATGATCCCAATCTTATTTGTGCAGTCCCTTGCAAATATTGAGGGAATTGAGAAAGCAGTTCCATTTCTGAAACCAATCATTGAGATGTAAGGACATGTAGCTTCTCATGCCAATCTCTTTCTTTGCTTTGCTCTCACGTCTCTACTTGAAATTTAGTAGCCATCACTTATACTTGCTGGGCTTCTTTTGTTGCAGGAAAGTCATAAAGTCTGTTATCCAAGGTTTCCTTCCTGGACTCGCTCTCAAGTTGTTCCTCATCTTTCTCCCCTCCATCTTGATGATAATGTCGAAATTCGAGGGATTCATTAGTCTTTCCACATTGGAGAGGAGATCTGCAACCAGATACTACATTTTCCAGTTCATCAATGTGTTCCTCGGCAGCATAATCACAGGAACTGCATTTCAGCAGCTAGACAATTTCATCCACCAGTCTGCAACTGAGTATGAATGATCGCTCCATACTAATATTTAGCTGTTGAAATTTTACATGGTACAAATTGAAGGAAAGCAAACTGACTTCACTGTAATATATTGTGCACAGGATACCAAAGACGGTTGGTGTCTCAATTCCTATGAAGGCGACTTTCTTCATAACTTACATAATGGTTGATGGGTGGGCTGGAGTTGCTGGTGAGATACTTAGGTTGAAACCTCTGGTAATCTACCACTTGAAGAACTGGTTCCTGGTAAAGACCGAGAAGGACCGAGAAGAGGCAATGGATCCAGGAACAATTGGCTTCAACACAGGAGAACCGCAGATACAACTCTACTTCCTACTTGGCCTTGTTTATGCAGTGGTTTCGCCAATCTTACTTCCCTTCATCATCCTGTTCTTCGCCCTGGCATTCGTTGTTTATCGACACCAGGCAAAGCTCAGAGTCTCATAAACTATGTTCCTTTCCTATGACAATATCATCCAAATTTGTTTTGACAATGATTGGTTTCATTCATATGATCTTTCTTGCCAGATCATAAATGTGTACAACCAGGAGTACGAGAGCGGTGCAGCATTCTGGCCCGATGTCCATGGACGAATCGTGGGTGCATTGGTCGTCTCGCAACTGCTGTTGATGGGGCTAATGAGCACAAAAGAAGCTGCGCAATCAACGCCATTGCTCATCACACTCCCCGTGTTGACACTGTGGTTCCATCGCTTCTGCAAAGGCAGATACGAACCTGCGTTTGTTAAGTATCCATTACAGGTTGGTAAAAAAGAACGGCACACTCCCATTTAGTCCTCCAATGCCATAGCATATTGGAAAACAACATTTGCATAGTGTAAGTTCCCTTCTCTTTTTTGTTCAGGAAGCGATGAGGAAAGACACATTAGAGCGCGCCAAGGAGCCGAACCTCAACCTGAAAAGCTTCCTCCACAGTGCATATGTGCATCCAGCATTCAAAGAGGTAGACAATGAAGGCGATGAGAGCGACGAGGACTTGGTCTCGACGAAGCGCCATCAAAGTAAACACAGCAGTAAACATAGTTTTTCATCTCTGCCCGAGGACCCGGAACGTTCACTGCTTTGATTCTAATGACACTCCTTTGTGGAGGAAAAGGGTTTGTCCTTCAAAACTTTTTCCCCACTGTAAATGCTCTTTCTAGTCTTAAAATGGTGGGTGAGAGATGGTGTTGGTGTGTTTTGAATCAGATAAGGGGGGCTTTTTTTTGCAAAAGTTTGCTAGTTTGAGGTGTATAGAGGGAAGCAATCATTTTGAGAGGCATGATTGACAGAGAAAGAAAAATAAAGATAAAAAGATCCTTCCTTGTATAGGATTTTTGTCATAGTATGGTTATTGGTTAGTTCTTTGTTTTAATGGAAGCTGCAGCTATTTTGGCAGTGTAGAAGCTGCTTCTAGAGGGTTGATTTGCAACCAGCTAGAAACAAATTTGCCTTCCTGGAGACGAAGGAGCATTCACGGCAAGTTCCAACTGTTAAGGAATCGGAATCTTTTTTCAGTTAAAAATGGATTTGGTCGGCGTGACTGTGCGTCTGTGCCAGCACCCTTTTTTTTGCCCAAATTCCACTCTTTTGTTCTATATTCTTGTCCTTCCTATCCCAATCATATATTTAATAAAAAAAGAAAGAAATTTGGAAACATTATTGTTTAGGTCCCATAAAAATATTTATGGATAATACAGTCATGAAAAATATCTTCTCAAACATTTTAATCCTTACCAACTTTTATAATGGGGCAACGAGTAATTAGCCATCACCATCTCCATACTCCACTTTAGTGCTTCGTATGCAATACCGAGTGTAAGCCTTATATGACATGCGAGCATCGACATGTTCTCAAGTCTTGAGATATATATGAGATTTTGTTAACAATCGAATCCACCCTGAATAGAAGATCGAAAGAGAGAAGAATCAATGTATCGTTTGTATTGGAGAGAAAAATATTAGGATTGCAACTAGGTATCTATCCTTTTATGCCCAAGTTGGGTTAAACACGAGACGGAGTAAAGAGGAAAAGTTTTTTTTTATGCTTTTCTAACTAATTAATTAGGAAATAAACACATTCACTTAACATTGTGGTCCTTGAACTTTCGTAATATTGCACTTTGGCCGATTCGAACATAATCAAGTGTGATTATAATCACTCATTGTTTATAATCACTCATTGTTGGCCCATTCGAACATAATATTGCACTTAGAGAATATACACAAGTAGCACTAAGAAAAAAGTATTCCAATACAAGATGGACCATTTCATTCTAATTTTATCGGATGTCCGTGAAAAGCCACCAGCTAAAAAAAACAAATTGTTAGGAATAAACTTCAAAGAGTGAAATGGGAATAAGTTGTCGTTTATGCACCTATATGTACTTTTCCCCACAATTACGAATTATCTTATTATTATTTGTTTTGTTGGTCAACAAGGCAGTCCCCTCCCACCTCTGTTCCTTTCTTCTGTCAATAATGCAACGACGCAAGTGAAATAGAAAGCCAATTGGCAAACAAAGATAGAGATCGGCGCCCAAATCACCTATCCGCAGCCGGAGCCGGAAGCTGGAGCAGAATTTCTCGATTGGCCTTTTCTGATCTGAACTTTGATCGCTCCGGCGACAGATGATGGATGAGGTGATGACCACCGCCGACGCTGCGACACTGGGCAGGGCGGCGCTCTCTATGGCTCAGACGGCCTCTTCGGTGCTTCTGACTCCTCCAACGCCTCCATCAGATTCTTCTTCTCCGCCATCGCCGCTGCTTCCGAGCAACCTCCCGCTGATTTCCGCCTTCCTCGCCTTCGCTCTCGCTCAGTTCCTCAAGCTCTTCACCACTTGGTCAGCATTTCGCCACTCCCCCTCCTTTTACTTCTCTTTCTTTCTTTTTTCTGTTCGATTCACGAAATTTAATTTCCCGAAATCGGAAGAGTTCTTGTCTTCTTGATTTCTGCTGAAGTTTGAGGAAGCCCTTTTAGCCACATGATTTGAAAACTTTGTGTGTGGGTTGGGACCTAGATGATCAGGTTCAAGGAGAAGAGATGGGATTCTAAAAGGATGGTGGACTCTGGCGGAATGCCGTCGTCACATTCCGCCACCGTTACAGCTCTGGCTATGGCCATTGGCTTGCAAGATGGAACCGGATCCCCTGCTTTCGCCATTGCTGTTATCCTCGCCTGCATTGTATGTTCTATCGTATTGAGACTATTTGCTAGTTCCCATCTTTACCCATATGAGACTCCTGTGTGTGAAACAATGAGCTTATAATTTCGTTAATGCAGTTGAAGAATTTTGTCTTTATGTTTAGAATTCATCAGTGCGGCCTAATTGTTTGTCGATTTATGAGCTCCCCTAAATGTTGGTTATGTGATTGGAAAGTGCTCCAATTTTTCAGGTGATGTATGATGCTTCCGGTATAAGACTTCACGCCGGTCGTCAAGCTGAAGTGAGCGATCCCTTTCACAGATTCTTTGCTTCTATGTGATTGGTACATTCCACAATTGCGGCGTAAGATGATCATTTCTCGCTGTTTCCTTCTGCCTGTTCTTGCAGTTGCTGAATCAAATTGTGTGCGAGTTTCCTCCAGAACATCCATTATCCAGTATCAGACCTCTGCGCGAGTTACTTGGACACACTCCATTCCAGGTTTGCTTCCTTTTTAGAGAGCATTTGCCAGTTTCATGGCTTCTCTCGACTCTTGAAGAGTCATCCATGCGGACTGTGATTACTCTAGGAAAAAAGTAGTTTCGAGGGTAGGAAAAACACGTTTTAAATCATGCTGCTGAACATAATGCAGGTTGTCGTTGGAGGAATCTTGGGCTGCATAGTAGCTTACCTGATGAGAAACACTAACTAAAGTAAAATGGACACTGAATTTCCTTACAGACCAAAAGGGAATGCTTCAGTTTCAGTATATCCCCAGAAACTGGAAGTAGCTGAGGCAGGGAAAGGAAGGGACTTTTATGTACTCTCAAAGCACCATACTTCCAGTGATCTTTATCAATTCTTAAAAAGAAATCCATAAGTTATTCTTCCTGTACTTAGACTACTGTAATTTTTATTTATTTATTCCGTCAATGGCTCCTTAGTCCATTGTTGTTGGAAATTCTTGTCAAATCAAGTTGAATGTAATGGAAAAGCAACTTGAATTCAATTTACTTCGATTATTTGCATGGAGCTTCTTTTTTCTTACATATTCGTTACCTTTTAAGCATTACTTCCATTTGGTGCATTTCTATTTCTATCTTACTGTAAACAGGGAACAGAAGGATGATAAAAGGATCTAGACACCTGCAATAACTAGTAACAAGTTCTCTTCATCCTTCTACCGTTATTGATTCACTGAGGAGAATTCCTCTAGGTTAAAGACAACCCATAAATGCTATTAACTATGAGAGCTTTTTTGCTCATGTGCACAACCAGTCCTCTCCTTCTCATGCAGTTTCAACTTTGCATTCTTGAAACGGCTTCCTCTCTCCCTCTCCCTCTCCCTCTCTCTCATCTTCACTTCACACACTTTAAACACCCTATTTTAATGGGTTCTCTCTCTTCTTCCTTTCTGCACTCCCCACATTGTAAGAGTGAGCAAACAGAGTGGGTTTCCAGGTGTTCCTTTTCCCATCTCTTTTCAACTCCTCGCTAAACCATGACAAAGAAGAAGCTACTTTCATCCCCACCAAAGCTAAACCATCTCTCATGGTTTTTCTGCAAGATGTTCACCAATTTTCTCCTGCTTTTGTGCCTTCTGGTTTATCTCCAATTCAATCCTCAACACCACAACCGGTTTCCTCATGATCCATCATTCTCTTCTAGCTATGAGAACTTCCAAGGCACCCCTAAGATTGCTTTCCTCTTCCTTGCTCGCCACCGCCTCCCTCTTGACTTCCTATGGGACAACTTCTTCAGAGTCTGTGTTTCCCTATCTTTCTCATCTCATCTGGATCCTGGTTCCTTCACTTTCTTTCGTTTGAACATTATGTCTCTGATAATTTTTGTGGGTTGCAGAATGCTGATGCTGACAAATTCTCAGTCCATGTTCATTCCGAGCCTGGATTTGTTCTGAATGAGACAACCACAGACTCTGAGTTCTTCCATGGTCGGCAGCTGAACAAGAGTGTTCAGGTAACATTGTTTCTTCTTGCTCCATCCAATCATGGGTAGTTTTGTTCTTTTCCACAAGTTTTCTTTTGTTCTTGGAGATTCTGGGATCATTTTGTGTAAACCTGTGTCGTCAAAATTTCAACTGTACTTCTGAAAAACTTTGAGTTTACTGAACCAAATATAGTATGATTATATACAAAAAGTAGTAGTCATAGAATCTTATGTCTCCTGCTAGCAGAATCTATGAATTCAGTAGAACCAGGGCAGAACCTAGGTTTTTAACAGGCTTCTAGCCTGGCTTGATGAATGAAAATTTAAACCGGTCATGCCTAACAGATACTGAATATGGATAAAGTAATGATTTTCTTGTAAACAAAGTGATATTTGACAAACTTTATAGGGTGTTATTGGTAACTAAAATGCTTTTTATACAATTCGTTAATACCATTTGAGAATATTCCAATTTTGCGTAGCTTTTTTTATTCCATGTAAAATCTGTAATTCGACCACCTTGAGTGTGATTGAAGGATTGTACATGGAATGTTACAGTTTTCAAATTGATAAATGCTGTAGAGATAATAGAATCAATTTAACTGTTGAGATATATTATCGTGAAATATCACACTGATCTTTCCACTTTCAATTTAACTTTTAAAGCAGGATTAAAAAAGAAATGTCTAGACAATTTCAATCTCTGTTGAAAACATTATAGTTATTTCTCATGATTCATATAATCTTATGATTCTATTATTGGCTTCTAGCTTCTAGCTTCTGATCTGTGGTCCTCCTTGGTGTTAATCAGGTTGTATGGGGTGAACCAACCATGATCGAAGCTGAAAAGTTGTTGCTCGAGGCTGCTCTTCATGATCCAGCCAATCAGAGATTTGTTCTTCTCTCTGACAGGTTTGCTGGTTCACTGGTTTCCCTTTTCTCCTGCCACTGCAGCCATTAGTATATTCTTATATATGTATTCTGGTATTTAATCCTGCAGCTGTGTCCCTTTGTACGACTTCAGCTACACTTACAGCTACATAATGTCCTCCCCCAAGAGCTTTGTTGACAGGTAAATGCACATATCTTAGCTCCATTTTCGGTCCTCAAAACATTTTAGGTATGACTTCTTTTCTTTTGTAACAAAAGTTGAGGTTTCCATAGCCTTTTGTGTGTTGTTGCAGCTTTGTTGATGAGTCAACAGGCCGTTATGACCCTGATATGTCTGCCACAATTCCCAGAAGTAAATGGCGAAAAGGATCGCAGGTATATTTTAATAGATTGTGCAACAATTCAAAATTAACTCAAAACATTAAGCTTAAGGCTTCATGATATCAAATTGACAGTGACAAGTTCTTATGTCTGGAATTACTAAGCAGTGGGTCACTTTGGTGAGAAAACATGCTGAACTTGTTGTTAACGACAATTTCGTCTATCCCATCTTCAAGAAATACTGCAAGGTACGGTACTTTCAGATTCTCATACATTTCCAGAGCTGAACCTTTTCCACTACACTTTCATGTAACAGTCGTCACCCTTTGTTTCAGCGATGGAAAGCTCAAAGGAACTTGCCTAAGAAAATCCTGCAGATTCTGGTGAGCTGACTCCTAATAATAATAAGGAAATTTGCTTTCTTTCCTGACATTGAATTTGCTGTCTGCTTTCACCTGTTTTTTTTTTTTTTTCCTTGTGTAACTTTCACCTGTTTTTGTCTACAGGAACTGAACTTCCTATTCCAGAAAAGGAAGCTGACAAACTGCATACCTGACGAGCATTATGTGCAAACTTTGCTCACTGTAACCAAGCACAACTTCCATCAACAAACTTCTCTACACCATCACTTAAGAAAATCAAAGCTCCGTGACCTCTGGCTAAATCGAATCCTTAATATTTACTTGCAGATGAATGAGGTGGAATACGAGGTCGAAAGGAGGACACTGACCTACACTTTGTGGGACAGTTCTCCAGCGAAAGACTGGAGGCAAATGTGGCACCCTGTCACTTTCAATCAACCTGATGCAGCTCCTCACAAGATCAAAGAAATCAAGGTGGCTTACTGCTTTCCCCCCTGAATCTCCATTTTTTTCTTTCTCGGATATTGCCAACTTCAGTTGTTTCATGAAATGTGGAGCAGGGAATCAACCATGTCCATTACGAGAGTGGACACAGGACAGAGTGGTGCAGGGTGGCTAACGTCTACTCATCGTGCTTCTTGTTCGCCAGGAAGTTCAGCCAGGGAGCAGCCTTGCGGCTTCTGAATGATGGTGCGCTTGGTTTCCACGATCCTGAAGCTGCTTTGTCTGCATAGTTTGGGTTTTGGATGGGAGGATTTTTAAGTTTGTTTTTATTTATATTTATTGTTCTTCCCCAACAAATTTCAGTAGATTTCTTCAGAGAATGTTTGCTTCTCCAGCAAAGTTGGTTTCTTTTGGCAGCCTTGTAATGTAAGAGCTTAAATTTCTAACTGAAATATGGAGAATATGCACATATTATAAATACTAGCACTTGGTCTGACCTCTTTAGAGAGTTTGATTATTATGTATTATTTATGTGTTGTTACCGCTTATAATATGTGTTAATAGCAAAGATATGCAACTAACAAGTAACAACGATACATATGTTTACTAAGAAATTGTTTATAATTGTCCTTTAATGCAGTTCAATATATCTATGAGATATTTTTCCCAATATTTACATGTTATCATCTTGGTTGTATCATGTTATAGAATTATATGACCAAAATACTAAGTAGATACTCAAGATGTGCCACAATGACGTGAAAACTCCATTAATACAACATTAAACTTACATATTTTGCACAAATAAATATGCTGTAAAAGTTGTGCCGTTTTGCCTACAAGCATTGGAGTGTGTCACTATAGAGTCTGTTAGAGAAACCAATGCTAAGATTCATATAGAATATTCTTAGCTTAAGTTAAGAAAACTCAAAGGAGTAATCCAGCGGCGGATCTAGGGGGGCCGCCCCTGGGCTACGGTCCAGCCCTTCCCTGGATCCGGAGCTAGTATAGCCCTTGTAAATTTTCTATTTTAGGTATTCGTTTATGTTCTCGTCGGGTTACGGCCCAGTCCTCTCTATCTCTTTTCAAATGTGGTCCAGTGCTCTACCTTATCCCGGATCTGCCGCTGGAGTAATCTATGCATAGCAGAAGTTATACTTCAAAGTTGAATCATTGTATGCATCATGGCTAGCTACACTATGAATATTTTCATGTGAAAGTAAAGGTAGACAAAACTGTGGACGAAGAGTAAACTAATATCAAATACTCAATAGGACACATTATCGAATTTGGACACCTGATGTTAAAGATTATCAATCTTCTTGACCCATCAGACTATACAACCACAAAGAGGGAAACCATAGAATTCAAAGATTAGAGAGGCGTGTGGCTTGCATGAATTCTCCAATAAGTCACTACAACAATCTGCACATGTAGCTGTGAAAGTTTTCGTGGCTAAAGGATAAATATTTTGTGGCTAAATTATGTAGCTACAAAAAATTCATTTTGTAGCTCTCATAGCTAAATGTGGGGCAGCTAAAAATTAGCTACACATTTTCTTACTTGCGTAGCTAATAACCAACACTTGTAGCTTTAAGCAAAATATATTATAGCAAAAACATAAACTGGTTTTTGCCATACAAATAAATTTGATATAGCAAAATCTGTGTAGCTAATAACCAAAACTTGTAGCTTTAAGCAAAATATTATAGCAAAAACATAAACTGGTTTTTGCCATACAAATAAATTTGATATAGCAAAATCATTAAAACATTTAGCTTCACAACACATGATGTATGGCTATATCTAGAAACTAAATAATCATAATTCTTGCTATGACATATTTTGTAACTAATAAAGTATTCATGGCTAAATCAACAATTAATTTGCCATGATTCATTTTGTAGCTAAAGCAATTCGGTTCTTGCTACCAAAAGAATTGTGGCAGTAAGTTTGCCATACAGCTTTCAATAAACTATTAATGGCTAGATTTATATATTTTTTGTTACAAAATTCATTATAGCTATATCTTTTGAGCTTTTGCTACCACACAAATAAACATGGCATACAAAAATTATTTAGCTTTTAATAAGATTTTCTTGGCAAGAAGTTATATGCTTCTGCTACATAATTCTTCATAGCTAAACAATAAAACTTAGTGATACCTCATAAAATTTAGCTTCGTTCTATTATTTTCTACAGAACTAATGGTAACAAATGTTATACTTCTAGCTTCAAATCCATACACTCATAGTTACGATGAAACGTAGATGTGGCTATAGTATAATTTATCTAACATAATAACTACATATCCTACTATTAATGTAGCTACTCACATAATTTATTATTAGAATAATAATAATAATAATAATAAAATTAAAGTGAACATGATATATAAAAATGCAATTCCATTTCAGCCTAACAGTAGCAGTTGTTACAAAGAAAATCAAACAATGCAAAAAAAAAAAAATGAAAACAAAAGATGTCACAATATTGGAAAAGTAAATAACTCTCTAAATCTTTGATCAATAGCTAATTGTTTGCTCCCAGTAACCTGAAAAAAGCATATTAAACATGAACATGAGAAACATATCAAAAGCAAAGTGATTTTATATGAATATCGACCATATAAATCAAACATTAAAATTATTTTTGAATGACATACCTCCTCATTTCAAATATCAGACTCCTCCCTTAAAGGTACACTCCTATCCGCTAGCAACATCTGACATTTTTCTTCCCATTTTTTGTTCATTTCTGCCATTTGCTCTTGAAAATCTTTTGTAATTTGATCAACTCTTTGATTAGCTTCCCTTTTAGCTTCTTCCACTTGTTCACTAGCTTCCTTCCGAGCCGCTTCCACTTGCTTTGTAAGTTCTGCTTTTTGTGGATTTCACTCCAAAAAATTATGTTACCCCTTTTCCAGGACCATAAGCACGCACATAACCATTCTTTTCAGGTCCAAGGACATTCTCAAACATTTCTTCATCATCCATGGATATATTTCCCTCAACTCTTTGTTTTTTTACTTCATAATTTAATCATTTACAAGAAAAGGACAAGGGACTTGTATGTTCGGTGCAAAGAGACAATATCAAAATAATTCACTATGACTAAAATGAAAGCACCTATATTTGCAACGATGAAAGTAAGCGATCTAACATGGCATAAAGTAATTGTTTTTACTTCATTTGTTGATACTTGCATCTTCTCATGTACCTATAAAAATGAAAAATCACTTACAATTATATCTTGTGAATTAGAATCCACCACTTTTCCTTTCTTTCTTTTACGTGATTCGATTCAAATTTCAACACGGGTAGGAGTTTTTCCATTTGCTTTTTTTCGGAAAGAAAATATGATAAAGTTTATTAGTCCTTAGTATTGAACAAGATAAATTATGCACAAAGGTTCATGCTTACAATAATATCACACATACCATTTGATGTCTAAACCGAGCAATACTTTTTGTGCCCGTATAAGGTGGCATTGAACGTTTGGATCTATTATTTTTGTTTTTCAAGCTTTTCTCCTGCATAAGACACAAATCATAAACTATGACTAGAACAAAAGAAATTAATACAACTATTTCTTTTTCTAATAAAAATGTTATCTTTTTACCTGAAATGCCGGATCACTCCATAAGTTAACAAGATACTTCCAATCTTCTAGGGATACTCTCTTAGGTTTGTTTTTTAGGCGACTTTCATAACTACTTTTCTTATTGAAGTAGTTTCTCTTCAACTTATGTCTATAATCCCTATAAAGCGCATTCATATGACCGATAATAGCTTCCTTTGTCCCCATTGGCTGTTCAAAAGTGAACTTCTCCTACCCAAAAAAAAAAAAAATGCAATAAAACAAGAGAGCAACAAGGCATGCACAAGTAAAATATAAATTATAATTAACAAGTATATGTTACCATTATGATTCCCCACATGTGCTCTATTGCATTTCCAGGAACATCCTTCCACGCTTTTACTTGTAATGGTCAACATGATCGATTTCGAACAGTCAATCCAAGAAACCATACATTTAGAAATGACATGGTTAGTTTGATACAAACAATTATTTTGACCTCAAGGGTCAATCAACATCAGGAAGATTAAAGACTAAAAAATAAACAACCCATAAAATAATTGTTTGTATCAAATTAACCATGCCATTTCTAAGTGATGTATCAAACTACATCTACTCCAATTGGCATCCAACCAAACATGCAAGTTTCTTTTCTAGTTACCTTCATTGTCTTCAGCTTACCATTCAAAACTGGAGTACCCTGTGAAGGACCTAAATTGCTAGTCCCGAAACACACCATTGATATTTTGCGTTGTAATAAGTTCCAAATTCGCTCAATAAGCATAAAAGAGATGGGTAAATCCAAGTATTTTAAGGAATTAAAAGCTAAATATCACCAAGAAAAAAGCTTGATAATAGATTCAACAAAATTGTTACAATTCTTCCCATACAGGTCTCAGAGTCAGACTCCTCATAGTACCAAAGATTAATCTCCCAATGTATTATTACAAGAGTAACCCTCAAAATTAACTCTGAACTATGTTTAACTTCCCGTGCTAAAAAGAATTTGCTCACTGGAGTTGAGGAGTAAGATAAGCGGAAGAAACGAAGGGCGTAGGTTAGGGATGGCAAATTACCCACCCATGGGTAATTATACCCAAACCCAAGTAGACCCATTGATAATGGGTTGTGTATGGGTGAAGTGCATATGGATTTGGAGGTTTATAGATGAGTTTGGGTAAGGTATGAATATTGCTTCCATAATCTAAATGGGTATGGGTTGGATATGGATATCCATTTACTTGAGGGTGTTTTAACTACACATGCAAAAATTGGACCTATTTGTAAAACTTGATAAGTTTAGGTACCAAAATGTAAGACCAAAAAAATTTAGGTACCAAAACGTAATTTTCCATCGATATTTTGAGGACTTGTATGCAAAAAAATTAAATTTAGGTACTAAATATGCATATCTATTAAGTTTGGGTACCAAAATGTAATTTGTATTTGGGCATGGGTACAAACCCAAATCCATTTGATATAAACCCAACTCAACCCAAAGTAAATGGGTATGAGTACAAACCCATCAAACTCTACCCATATCCATCTATTTGGATTTCATACCCAACCCAATTGGGTTGGAAAGTAAGAAACCCATGGGTATGGGCAAAGTTGCCATCCCTAGCGTAGGTGGAATGATTTTCTGAACGCGGAATGAAAAGCAGTGTAAGAGATGAAGCCGGCGCGAAGTCGATTATATCCTTCGGTGATAAAGGTGATAAATGGATTGGAACCATTGATTGGTGGATTTGATTGGTAGATCCATGGATCAAGTGGATTGGGTCATGGATTGGTGGATTGATCCTTGAATCCAAATGACATCCAAGACTTAGACCAAAATGTAAATTTCGAAAACTTTAGGTACTAAAATGTCACAAGAAAAAAATTTAGGTACCAAAATATAATTTTCTAATGCTATTTTTCGTATAAAATAAATTTTAGGTACCAAAATCTAAAATATAAAAATATAGGTACTAAATTATAATTTGTCATTTGGATCCATGGATCAATCCATGAATCCACCAATCCAATTGGATTTGAATTAGTTGG